GCTCGATCTTTTCCATTTCGGCGGCCGCTTCTCGTGGTGATCTGCCAGGCTTTTTTTTTTCTGTATTGAGGAGGCTATGGTCGAGTTTGTGCTGAACGCTAACACAGTCCTCGTGCCCAATACCTGCTCAAAGTAAATGATCAAGCAATGGCGGCCAGGCGATGGCGCGGACTTTTTGAAAAGGGTTTATTGTGGTGTCGGAAGCAAAAAGAGAGCAGAAACAAGACAAAAAAACTGGTGAAAGAAAAAAAAAAGTGGTCCGCCCACTTGTTTAAATGAGCGAAATGCCCTTTTTGACGAAAGCGGGGGCAAAGACACTTTGAGGCATGCCCCCGGCGGCTCGCAAAAAAACGACGCTCGTAAGGAAAAAAAAACAAAAAAAAACGAGCATGAAAGACAAAAGCACATCTACGTGTTGTCGGCGATGTGTTTTTTTGTGGCAAACAGCTGGCAAAATTCGAAGGCGCCACCAGACGCGACCGAGAAGGCGAAGAAGCTACAGCGACCGACGACCGCGGACTCAGAGGCGCCTGGCCGCCGAATTACAGAGAGCCAGCCTGGCCCACGGCAGCTATCTAGAGTCTCTAATTGGGTGCTGTCTCAACTTTACGAGGGTATGATAAGGAGGGCAAGAAGAGAGGTATTTTCGTTTTTTGTTAAGAAATAACCAAACCACCATCAAGCGCGGAAGTTTTCTGTCGCGCACCAGTCACCTAGCCGTGTTTGGAGATTTGTGTTTGTCCTTTGTCCCCCCTGTTCCATTTCTCCAGGATTTATTATCATTATTGTTGTCCAGCTCGCTTGCACCTTTGCATTAATTGCATTATCACCAAAGAAACCTCGCACTTTTTTTTCGCTTAAGCAATTGCTTTGTTTTTTCAATATTTTCGCAGTCTTTGTCCCCTTCAACATCGGCATTTGAAACAAGGAGGAGTAATTGGTGGGACCTCACATGTGAGTACTGTAACTACTGTTCCAGCAATATCACAAACAAAACGATAGTAATTGCTACTTCAGTATTAGGTCGGAGTAATATGCATAGAGTAATGTTTCCGATCAAAACCGACAAGATGACAAAACTAAAACATGCTCGTGTATTTGTTCGTCTGCTCCTGTATATAGAGCTTGATTTCTCATTACCATTTTGCACTGGCAATTTTTTTTTTTCGAATAATTATGTGCTAGACGAAATCGCATTTGTAACTTGGTAATGCGTCTTTGCCGAAAAGTGTGTGTGTGTGTGTGTGTGTGTCTGGAGGGGGGGGGGGGGGGGGGGGACTCTGCTTGCCTGCCCCCCCCCCCCCCCCCCCCCCAAACCCGAAAATTGAAAAATTCCCGCCTATAACGGCGACAATAGAAAGGCCTGAAATACTATGGTTTCTCAGACGGCCAGCAATGCAGGACCCAATGTGGTACATGGGAAAGAACTCGATCTTTTTTTGGTTTACGCTGCCACCTGTCTCGCATCGATGGGCACCTCTGGAGTTGACTCGATGAGGGGAGCGTCAAGAAGGAGAGGGCTAAAAAGGTCAGCGTTGCCCATCTGTTGCTCAGGTCTGTAAACATAGCTCATGATCGTACTGGGCTACCATAAGGCTCCAGCGCAGTAAGCGTGGATACAGAACCTGAGGAATTGGTTTGCTGTGGTGTAGTAACCCGAGAAGAGGCTTGTGGTTCGTGAAAAACTTAAAGTGACATCAATACAGAAACGGGTGAAACTTGTTCACACCAGCTACGACAGCTAATGCCTCACGATCTGTTTGTGAGTAGCTCCTTTCAGCTCGCGTCGTCGTTCTTGATCCAGATGCCAAGGAAGATTCTTCGCACTCCGGTGACACGTGGCTCATGACGATACCTAAGCCACACAAAAAGGCGTCACAGGCCAAGGTTAAGGGACGGTTGACGTTGTAATGGGCGAACACGGTGAATGACTGCAAGAGAGACTTGGCTTGTCGAAGAGCTGCTGCTTCCTTTTGTCCCCATTTCCAAGGAGCGCCTTGGTCCAGCAACCGATGAAGGGGTTCCAAGACGTAAGCTGCGCCCTTCAAAAAATGGCCGTAAAAGTTGAGAAGTCCCAGAAAGAATTGCAACTGCTGCCTATCTCGTAGTTCAGGAGCGCTCTGAATAGATTGCACTTTCTCTTCTGTATAGTGTGAATGCCCTCTTTGTCAATCTTGTATCCTAGGAAGGACACTTCAGGCACTTTGAAGCTTCACTTGCTCTTGTTTAGGCGAAGCCCGTCGTTATTGATTCCTTTCAAGACGGCCCGAAGACGTGACTCGTGTTCTTCATCGTTCTGGCCGCCAATCACAATGCCGACAAAAAATGCTAAGACAACATCGAGTCCCGCGAGAAGCTCTTCCATGTAGCGTTGGAAAATCGCTACAGCCGTAGCGACACCAAACTGCAGACGGGTGACTCTGGAGAGACATCGATGAGTGTTTGAAGGTCTTCTGTAGCTTCGTCCTACTTTCTGGTGGTATGCTTGTCCCAGATCCAGCTGTAAAAACCTTTGACAACCAGCCATTTGCGAGAGCAGCTGATCGCCAGTTGGCAAGGTATGTCTTTCACCGGATGTCATGGTTCACTGTACACTTGTAATGTCCGCAGAGGCAAATGTTGCCATTCCTTTTGAGAATGGGCACGATTGGGGTCGCCCAAAAAGAATGGCGTACCGGTTCAAAAATTCCCTTTTCTACCAGTTTATTGATGTCTCTGTCTACCTAGGGCAGCAGGGGCAGAGGAATTTGGCGAGCCTTAAAACGCTTGAGTGCGGTGGCCGGGGTCGACCCCCACACAAACCGGAGGCCCTTTGCTCTTTCTGAGTCCTGGCTGAAAAAGATCGGGGAACTCGTTCACGACGTCGTGAACCGTAGATGCCTCCGTCTGACGCGACGACGCGTCGACAGGGGATGTCCTAGGACCGGAACCAGTCGCGTCCAAGAGACTTTTGCCGAATTGTTCGACGCCCAGAAGTTCCAATCTCATGCATTTGTCCTTGAATGACACATCGACTGACACCTTCCCGAGATCCTCTGGGGTCCGTAGACGTACGGAGCACGGTTTGGAGCTGCTTTTGGATATGCGAAGCTCACGCTTCACACATGAGTTCATGTTCGTGAAGGCAGATCCGGAGTCCACTTCCATTTGTGCGCTGCAGCCGTGGATCGCGACATCACAGAACATAGGCGGCTCAATGCTCTCGATTACGAAAACTCCGTAATCTTCTGATAGGGTCTCTTTAACGTAGGTTAACCTCTCTGTTTTTCCTTTTCTCACTTTCTCTCTCTCTGGTCTGTTGCTTCGATTCGAACAGTAGACTGTCGGAGTTCGGCTCTCGCCTCTTGGTGGTAAGCCGCTAAGAGGCGCGGCTTACTGCCAAGAGAAGGGCCCACGCGACCTTTGTGGACCGTTCTCGTATGAGTAGTTTGAACCCTGACCTCTAGTTTTGGATAAGAATGCCGATCTCTCCCCTCGTCGTACCTAACTTGTTTTCAGATGCAGCTGTGGTGAAAGCTCTTGTCGAAGGGGGACACTCTCCTCTATTCTATCTCCTTGTTAAAATAAACGGCATATGGATTGCCTTCACAAATGGGTACGTACACGTTTTATTAGCCATCTGATTCATGACGGTACGCCAACACACGTCGCGTTAGAGTTTTTTTTTTTTTTTTTTTTGTGGGGGGGGGGGGGGAGGGAAGGGAGGGGGAAATGCCTGTCCACTCTTCTTCTGCCGAGCCGCGTCAGCATCGATTTGCGATTGTCTAGTGGCCCAGCGGCTCATAAAATCGGTTGTAAAATATTGTTCCCGAAGCGGTTACCGCGAACGCGGTGCCAGTGCGGTTCCACTCCCAGTGTGAACAGGTATTTACGTGAATCTTGCTGACACTCTTTTAGTTCAAACGTATCTTCCTGGACGTCGGGTCCCTCCCGCATCCCCGAAGCCACGAAAACCGCCGCGATTTGTTTGCAGGGGCGCCGCTTTGCAGAGCCGTACGCCCCGCCTCCTTTTAGCGACGATGGTAGTTGTGTTCGTAGCGATCGAGTTCGTTGCACTCGACCAAGGCGGCTATCCCGTCATCATTAGAGGTGGGCATTCGGGCCCGTTAAAAATAGTCATTTCGTAGCGTCGACATTACATCGCAAATACACAACCCCCAAACCACCCGAACGAGCGTTGCCGGAAAGACTACCCAACACGAAAGCTAATGGTGGCAATTGAACTCTGCTGATAATTCCTTCACCATACGCCTCGGTACTACGTTCAGGTCTAAGTAATTTCTAGGGTCACGCTCCCCTCCTGTGTTGGTTTCTTTAAAATAAAAAAAAATAAATAAAAAATGAGGCTTGCACACGTCGTGCTTGTAAGCGTAAACTGCCTCGAAGCGTGCACCCCAGACAGTGTTTCTCGAAACGTGGGCCAAATCACTACTGCTAAGAGGACACCTCACACAGACGAAGTTTGATGTCCTATTGGTTTCTGTCAAATGGCCCATTTAGGAAAATTATTAACGTTGTATGTAATTATGCTTTCATTACTTCTAATTTATTAACTTTTAGTTATTAAATTTGAAGGTACGGCTTCAGTTAGAAACTTTTTGGGCAGCATCGAAACCCACTAAATCAGCGCACCTTATGAAAATATACGGCAAGCACAGCATTTTATGGTGTCTCGAAAGAAAACAACACAAAACCTGTCACTGACTAACCATACGTCAGAAAACAAGCAAAACCTGAATAAAGAGTGGATAAGTATGAGGGTATCGATACCTGAAATAGCACCAAGTTATTCAGACCAAAGGAACTTTTGGTTTTGATTAGAGGATATAATTAACGCTTTATGCATAAACAATATACGTTATCAAGGCTCCAATGTGAAGAAGAAAAAAAAAACTTATTTCGTCACCAATTTTTCAGTGCAGGATATTTTCTAAACTGAAGGCGACTCAGAGGCGAAGGTTAATCCGAGACAAAATCTCCATCCTCCATACGGATCATATTTAACGATAATCGCTCCTGACTATAGCGCCATCGTGTGATTTCCGTCTAGCGGCTTCCGCCGAGCCCGGATAACGGGTCTCAAGCTTGGAGAGCCTCCTAGGTATTTTGATCCTCTCAACGTCCTCCAGATCTTGAACAGTGTTCATAACTCCCATCGACATAGTTTCGGGAAGCCAGTTCACCGCCAGGGCGGCCGCTATACCGAGCACGCCGAGCAGACCCGGCACAAGTTCTTTCTGCGTCATGCTACCCAGCTCTTGAAGCAGGGGCTGGGATATGCCACCGAGCCTGCCGAAAAAGTAGGCCGCGCACATGCCCATACTGCGCACAACGGTGGGAAAGAGCTCGACGCTGTACGTGAAGAGGAGTATAACGAGCAGGTCCGCGAGAATGACAGACCCTGTGTCCACCGACAGCATCAGAACCGAAGCCCCCTCGAACATCATCGCCACGGCCGCCACTCCGGCGAGCATCGAGAAAGCGACGAGGAGCGCCAGTAGGGTCACCCTCCGGCCGAACTTGGTCGCGGACATGTACAGCAGCAGGGATCCGCAGCCTGCCAAGGTTCCTTCGACGACCCGCAGCCAGACGTTGTCTGCACGGCCGGTGTGCGTGTGGTAGTAGGCGAGGATCACAACGAACCAACACCAGAAGAGGATGACGACGCGGCGTCGAAGCACCCTCGATGTCAGCACGCCCACGAAGCCCAACTTGCTGCGCGATGACGCTTCATGGTCGTGGCCGTAGAAGCTGGTGTTATGGAGGCGCCATTGGCGCTGGACGTCGTGTATGCTGCAGCCGTTGATCCGAGCGGCCTGAAGAATGACGCGTTCGGCTTGCATATATTCCGCCGTGACCATGAGCCAACGCGGCGACTCTATCGTCAAGATGAAGGTGCTCAGGAGCAGCGACGTAGGCAGCATGGCGACAGCTTGAACCACGACCCATTTCTGGGCCAGAAGGTCGATCAGGCTGAGGAAGAGCGGCGCTGCGATGAGTGGCACTGTGAAGGCAATCACGCTGTACAGACACTGGTACGCGGGCGTTGACAGCTCGAAGAGGAGTACGAAGCTGGTGATCTGAACAGTACTGACCGAAGCAGACACCCAAAAGCGCAGCGCCAGAAACAGCGTGACCGATCTCGAGAAGCAGACGGCCATCCCGGAAAGTAGGAGGGACAAGACGGCCATGTAGATGACCTGTTTGCGGCCTACTTTGTCCGACAGCTCACCCATGATGGGCGCGGCCACCGCAGCGCCGCTCATGTAGATAATGGTCGCGAACGGAACGAGCCATCGTTGATTGCAGACGAGGTTCCATTCGGTGATGATTGAACCATTTGTTTCGTAGTCCCATTCCTCGCAGGGCACCTGCGTCCGATTATCTGAGTTTTCCGAAAGTGGTGGGTCGTAACGGACGCATTGGAGCCAAGAGCCACTGGCGTCGACAGGCACACCGATGCTGCGCCACTCTTTAGATGTTAGGTTGGCGTACTCGGATGGCTGCTTACACCAGTGGTCTGCTCTGGTGGTCATGACGCTGACTAGCAGGTTATGGAGCAAGAGGACGAAGGAAGCCAGCATGTTGAAGAACAGCGTCCTGCGCTGTAAGGGACCGTGGCCGTATATGACCGTAAGGTCGTTCAGTAGAGCAGGAGGCTCCACATTCTGAATGCACTCCGATCCGCCGCTACGTTTTCTTGTTTGGCTTCTGGCGGGGCCAGGTGTAGCTGTGGCGAGGTTAGAGATGACAGGCTTGTCGCCTCTCAGCTGGGATGAACTTCTCGGTACACTTCCCTTGCTGTCAGTCGAGACCTTACTGACCACTACTTGCGAGTCTAGCTCGGGCTGTTTGATGGCTGGGCTGTCTTTGATGACTACAGAAGGTTTCCGGCTTCTTCGATGCGGTTGTTTGCTCATGTCTGCCGTTGATCTGGGTTTCGAACGTTGGAGCGGAGGCTTGCCGACTAGCTGAGCTGGCAGGTTCCAGCTTGATACTCTGCCGCGTGCGAGTGACCCCTCGTTCTCTCGCACCATCAGCACGAGCATGCAGGTATGGCCAATCCGGTGGCAGCGCCCCGGTGGTCGAAGCCAGCGTCTCGGAGCATGGCCGGCATGGCCTCCGAGATCGAGAATGAAACAAAAGCTTTATGGGTGCCCGTATACGCTCGCGCAACTTGAGCGCGGTTAAAAGTTGTAGACGCGTGCACATATATTTTTTTTTTTTTGAAAGGACAAAAAGCTGTTTTTGTGTATAGACGATTGCAAGCTGGGCGACTGGCCGCCGCCATGTCTCTGCTCGAGCAGGCACGCCCGTGCGATTACGAGCTTGCCAAAGCTACGTTCACCCGCGCGTTGCACGCGCTTGCACGCATGGGGCACCACTTGTAGCGCCATGCTTGCAATTGTCTATACAGCATGACCTACTGTTAATGCTGACCTGCACACAGAATAGGGATTTTTCGTAGATCGTTTCTTCCGTCCACGCAACGCTCTCTGCAACCCGCTGCAAGATCCGGAACTTTGCAGTCAAGGTCAACGGCGCCCATGCGCACTATACGGTTCCGGGTATCGTAGCAGGCTGCGGAGAATGTTGCGGAACGGCGAAAACGATTTACGAAAACTTCGTAATGACTCCCTATGGGAGACGCTTTCGCCGATGAAGATCCTCGATCGCTTTGTCATTGGGGCGCTCGGTAAAGGCTTTTCTGCGACCCAAACGCGGTTCACAGCCTAGCACACGGTCCGCACGGCGCGCGGCTGGTGATATCTGTTTGTCGGGAACACCCACCGTGGCGCGGCGCCAGCAGGCTGCAGTAGCAGTAGCTTTAGCAGTAGCGCGTTCCCGGCGCGTCGCTCTCATATTTGCTTTGATCGAAAGAGCGCGTCTCTCAGGCACGGAACCGCAAGGACATTTTAATGCTTCGTTTCAGGTTAATTCCAGACGCAGCCGATGCTACGAGCGCGAGCATGTGGCTTTGAACAGTGTTTGTACTGTACGAGCGCGCGTGCTTGGCTGCAGAGACGCTGAAAGCCAGGAGCTCGCGCTTGTAGCATCAGATGCGTCTGAACATATCGTACGAAAAGGGCAAAAGTAAACTCACCCTAAATGGAACAGCGCGGAACATAGGACAGAAAGAGCAGGACAACACGAGCGCTGACTTACAACTGACTGTTTAATGGGAAGCGAAGGAAGAAGAAGAAATAAGAAGCGAAGGAAGAAGAAATAAACTGAAAATAAGGATTAAAACAAAATACTTGCAATGAAAATAATTAAAGATGAGGGAAAAGCAAAACAAAAACAAAAGTGAAGAAAAGAAAAGAACTTTTTAGAAAAAGCAAGGTTCATTAAGTGCTCTCGAGATATGCGATTTCCTTCCTCAACAGGGTCACGGAAGGCATGCTGACTGCGCTTGTGTCTTTCTTAATGATGGAGAACGCTTCGATGATCTCGCGCGTGCGACAGTCTCTTTGGTGTTTGATAATCTCGCATCTGTCAAATGCTGGGACGCAGGCACACGCTGCACAATGCCTGGCTAGGTTGCTGCCGGTGGTCGTTCCCAATGAGGCGCGGTGTTCTCTCAGACGATCGTTGATGCACCGCCCGGTCTGGCCAACATACGACCGACCGCACGATAGCGGAACGTCGTACACGACGCCTTCGACACACTCGACGAAAGGAGTTGCATGGCTCTTCTGGCATTGCCTGATGGAGGTGGCAGAGGGGTTGGTAGAGTTTACTTTTTTGCACAGACGACCCAGTTTGTTAGGTGCAGAGAAAAGTACCTGAACGCCTGCCTTGGCTCCAACCTTTTTCAGGTTGTGGGACAGGCCATGGATGTAGGGTATGACTGTCCAAGGAGATCTCTTGCGTGTATCTTGAGGCTTGCTAGTGGAGCGACGCGACTCAAGAAGGAGCTTTTCTGCCAGGCTACTCAGCAGAGGTTGCGGGAAGCCTGCGGACAGCAGTCTGACCACTTGGGCGTTGAAGCCTCTCTCAACCTGGTGATGGCAGGATCTTTGCGTGGCATTTTTCATAGCGGCTAGCGCTATTCCTCGCTTCACAAGCTTGGAGTGAGCGGACGAGAACGGCAAGAGCGCCTTTTGCGAACGAGGGGAATACCTCCAACAGACGTTCTCCGCTCCAAACACCAGGATCAGGTCTAGGAACCGCAACTGATTGTCTTCGGTCAGTTCCTTGGTGAGAGTGAAAACACGGAGGTTCGACTTGAAAATTTCAAAGATGTTTTCAACTTGCTGGTGGGTGTCAGCTCCAGAGGTTTGGAACAGCACCAAGAAATCATCGACATACCGGAACACTCTAGCTACCTTGAAGTCCCGCAGAGATATTTCGAGCAGTCGGTCATAGTAGGCCAACAGCAGATCGCTGAGGACTGGCGCAAGGCACGATCCTATGCACACCCCCTTGCGTTGTATATAAAACTGGTCGCAGTACACCACTGATGTAGAGCGCAGATAAAAAAGGAGAAGATCTAGGAAGTCGGCGACACTGACGCCGCATGAGTTCTGAAATGTGATAGTTCCAAACCTGTCGATGCAGTCACTCACGACCTCGCAGAGAAGGTCGTGGGGCAAAGAGTAATAAAGGTCTTTGACGTCAACTGAAAAGCCCTGCAGGTTCCCATCGTGCAGTTGTTCAAGGTAATCGGACACTGCAGACGGCCTCCTGACCAAGAAGGGATCATCTAATTCTAATACAGAAAGCGACTTTTGGAGGAAAGATCCTACCGAGTGCTGCCACGTGCCTCGTTCAGACACGATAACTCTGAAGGGACATTCGGTCTTGTGGGTCTTGGCCGTGAAAAAGCATTCCAGACTAAGACCTCGGCTGTTCCGTACCGACGTCGCCAGTGTGGTGAGGCCTAATTGCTGGCACTTCATGATCGCTTCTGCCTTCACCTTTTTTGGGCGATGGTCTTTCAGTGGGCGAAAATTCCCAGTGATTGCTTCTAGGGATTTCTGACTGTAGATCTTGTCCGGTATGACGACAAAGCCTCCTTCTTTGTCGGAAAGGAGTAGTTTCAAATTTGCCTCGCGGAGCAGGGCAACCGCTTCACCTGTGCGAGCCGGGCAAGGGCTCCTGGGCGAAACTTGCAAGTGCTGTACGCCTTCGAGAATGCATCTGTGCGCTTCCTCACCTTCTGCTTTGGCGGCCGTTCTTCTCACCAAAGACAATAGTTCGGGCTTGTCTAATTTGATAGGGTTGCAATACTTGGGACCCAGTTGCAGTACGCTGAGCGCCTTGTCAGGAATCTGGGTGTTGCCAAGGACACGAACATCTTGAGCTGGAGGAAAGCGGGTTCTCTTCTTGGGGAGTGAGGCGAGGATAGTGGACCAGACGAAGTCGGTTGCCTGTGAGGCAGTTCGGAGTTCGAACTGCAGGCGCCTGGAAGCTTGATCTGGTGGTCCGTCTCGAAAACAGGCGAATCGAATGCACTCCTTAAAGAGGCGAACCTGACGCCAAGCTTCTGATCTGAGGATTCGGCAGATCCGGCGACCATGATTGGGCGATGGCGGGAGGGGCCCGACCATGACTGCGATGTCGGGTGGTAGGTAGGAATGCTTGATGGAGAAGGCGAGCAGCCGTGCTCGCCTTCTCCATCAAGTTCCGCGCTGTTCCGCGCTGTTCCATCAAGTTCCATCATGTTCCGCGCTGTTCCATTTAGTCATGAACCAACTAGCCCATCAAAGCACACTGCTTAAACTCACCCACACTGAAAATATACGCACACCAGAAAAACGGTCACTCACGTCGCGCTGACCATTTATTTTCTTTCTTTCGTTGTAATTTTCTGGACTCATGATGTTCAGAGGACAAGATCGGTGTGTCATTGGTGAGAGAGTTCGGTGGACGCACGCGTAGGCATGCATGCATGGCGTGGCCATCCCATATCAGGAGTAGCGATTGCTTCGATCAAGCCATCTCGTTTGACACGTTGACGCATAGTCAAGTGGAAATGCAATCAGGAAGGAAGGAAACTCTGGGAAACTTTCGCACGAAAAGCTTTAGCTCACTTTACAATCTGACAGATAATTTTCTTTAAAAAAAGTCAGGGCTCCAATCCACGCTGTAACGGTAGTTGGCCAGCGAAGCTGTGGTGTCACCTGCAACGATTACCCAATGCATTATAGATCCTTTTCATGGCAAACGCCATCAGGTGGCGCTCCAATCTTTGACGTCCCAGGGCCTTCCGGTTCATAACAAGAATGAACAA